GGCATTTTTATCCACCTATTAAGTCCTTCCCAAGGACCTGGGATAGGCAGATGTTGTTGTTGATGTTATTATTATTATTATTGATGTTGGGTCATGATGAGAACTCAACAACCCTCAAAGGCTGGACCACATTTAAAAAAAGATCTTTTAAAGAGAGGCTGGGCAGGACCTTGAGCAGGATTTGCAAGGGTGTGTGTCTGTGAGTGTTGCCCCAAGAACACAAGGTGACAGTGCCAAAAGATACATAAAACAGGAACAATTAAGGATCGTTGAAGCACGTGCTTCCATCTTCTTGCTGTTTCTGTCAGTGCAGGTATCCATGAGCGTGTGCTGTCTAAACATGCAAGTATCCATGAGTGTGTGCTGTCTAAACAGTGACTTCATTACCCCTATTACTGCAACATGACATGTGATGAAACTGTACTTAAGGAATTATGCAAGTCTTTTCTCAGTTTCCACTATGACAATCATGGTATTGTGTGTAGGGGTAGCTTGGCCCAGACTGTATGTAACAACATTACCTGTCATTTAGCATTATCCCTTCCCAACTTAAGTACTATTCTGAGTTTGTTTGTACTACAGAATCTTAATGACATCTTAGTTACAGAAGGAGCGGAGAAGAGAATTCATGCCATAACAAAGCACATCATTATGAAACAAAACAGAGGTTCTAAGCATGTCCTGACCTCACCTTTGAAGACAATGGCAAGACATGCAGGAAAAGTTAGTGGTCCTCCCATTTTCACAATTCCCCAATGTTCTAGCACAGCTGTCCTAAAAGTAGACAAAAATCCATGTACAAACAGAGAACTGTGTTTGCTATATGTAGAAATACATCTGGGTGGAGGGTAGAATTTGCCCTTGATAATGAAGCTCAAGCTCAGATACTTTGGTCACCTAATGTGAAGAGAGGACTCTTTGGACAAGACAAGATAAATTGCTTTTTGCACAATGATACGTGGGTCCCCTTGATTTCACTGAAGGGAACCCACATGAGACGGTAATAAGTTTGCAACTGTCTTAATCAGAATTCAACAACGTAAGCCAAAGCAGAGAGCGCTGGCTGCAACAATTTTGCAGCAACTCCTGAGAAAAAAGACAGACAATTATCCTGATGCTGGGAAAGACTGAAGGCAAAAGGAGAAGAGGACAGCAGAGGATGAGATGGTTAGATAGCATCACTGAAGCAATGA